ATGAAGTGTCCCACCCTTCTACCACTCGTTTTGCACTCGCAGGCATTGATGATATCGTTCTGTAGCCCACGATCCGCAGAGTAGGGGGTGGAATAGTAGTTGTTGGTTGTTTGTTGCAGTTAACTGTTATCATCTTCTTTCTTTTTCTTCAGTGGAGGCGCAAACCTTCAACCTGCAGTGGAGGCGCAAACCTTCAACCTGCAGTGGAATTTCAATTAGAAGTTCGTGCGGCATCTTGTAATAGAGCACGAGCACATAACTTTCCACGATTAAAATACAGAACGGAAATATATTTAATCACAGGTGATTGGATACCACTTATCGACTAATCGAAAAACAACCTATTGGTTCTCGGTCACCAGAAATGGCTTGACTGAAAAAAAAGTGAGACAACGGGACCCAATGTGTATTCATGTCGGGTGAAACTTAAGTATGTAAACCTACTAGGCTCGCTCTATTACTATGTGGTCAGCAAAATCTTTGTGGTCGGGTCTAAGAAAGGGGTCCCGACCAGTGTTGGACTCGCCGACGGTCTGATGCCGACCCGCCAAGTGTTCCAACAGTCGGCATTGACCGATCGGTTGGGGTCGGCCTGCTGCATTTTTTAGTGGCGGCTACCCGCACCCTGTAGGCCTAGATTTGGGCTTTGGGGGCGATATTGGGGTGGTCAGCCGATCCGGGCACGGCCTGGGAGGCCGCGGACCATCGACACTGCCTTTACACCAGTCGGCGGCAGTGAAAAGAGTGTGGTTGCCCACACTTTTCTCATTTTCTTGCGGTGGCATTGGAGGCAACCGTGAGTGTGGGCAGTCGTGTTGCCTGGGGAGGCAAGAAGAGTGTGGGCAGGTGTTTTGGAGCAGGGAGACATGGGCAGGGTGGGGGAGACAGGGCGGAAGCTTGGAGCTTGATGTTAGTTGAGGTGAAGTGGAAGAGTCCACTCACCTGGTTCTCATGTAGAGGGTCTTGAACAATACATAGCCGACATTCTTCCTCAACAAGTTTTCCGCGCTGCGGCATTCAAGAAAGGTTGCCATTTTCTGCCTCCTCCGATCAGTGTGTGTGAGAAAGGTTGCCATTTTCTGCCTCCTCCGATCAGTGTGTGTGTGAGAGAGAGATCGACAGTCAGATGTGAGAGAAAAACTTTCACATTCTTCTTCTTCTTCTTCTTCTTCTTCTTCTTCTTCTTTTAAAAAAATTGTTAGCCCGACCTTTGCCCTAATGATTTATTTCTTCTTCTGCTTCTTTTGAAAATAATATTTGCCCTAATTTTTTATTTTTTTTTTCTTGTTGTTGTTGTTGTTGTTGTTGTTGTTGTTCTTCTTCTTCTTCTTCTTCTTCTTCTTCTTCTTCTTCTTCCTCTTTTTCTTCTTCTTCTCTCTCATACTTTTTAGTTTGTGAAGTTTGCCCTCATTTGTCTTCTCTTGTTCATCTTCTTTCTTTTTCTTTTTCTTTTACTTCATCTCTCCATCTTTTTTTTTTTTTTTTTTTTTTTTTTTTTTTTCTTTTTTTTTTTTTTTTTTTTTCCCTTCTCCAACCACTGGTCCCCCTCCTTTTTTTTTCCACTAGACTCCCCTTTGTCCCTGAAACTCCTGATCAGGGGAACTTCTTCTGCCACCTTTTTCTCTTCGTCTTCTTCTTCTGCATCCACTGCTTTCTTTTTTTCTTCCTCCTCCTCTGCTTCTTCTTCCTCCTACCTTCCACCACCTCCACTTTTTTTTTTTTTCTTTACAAAATCGTCAAACAGTGGAAAATTACCTCTCACTCCTTCTTCTTCTTCTTATTATTATTTTTCTTCTTCTTCTTCTTCTCTCCATCTTGTTCCCCTTCTTTTTTTTTCTTCACCATTTTTAACTTTCTCTTCTTCCTTTTTTTTTTTTTCCTTCTTCTTCTTCCTCTTCCTACCATCACCCACCTCCACCGTTTTTTTTTTTTAAATATTCGAAAAATCGTCAAGCAGTGGACACACACTTTTTTTTAATATTATTCTTCTTTTTTTTCTCTCCATTTTCTTCCACTTCTTCTTCTTCTTCACAATCTTTTAATTCCTCTTCTTATTTTTCTTCCTCCCACCATCACCCACCACCGCTTTTGTTTTTTTCATGAAATCGTTTGGCAGTGGGCAAACACTTATCCTTCTTCGTCTTCTTCTTTTTCTTCATCTTCTCTCCATTTTTTTCCACTTTTTATTTTTATTTTTAAGTCCAGGTTGTTGTAGAGGTGGGATACTAGACGGATGACAGTCACCCACAGTACTCGGCCATTCGTTTGTCCAGATGAACCCCTTTGAAGACCCCACCCACCCTTCCTCTTATCTTTTGCCCTTGCGCACCCCCGCCCCCTCTGTCCTACCCTAGTGTTAACCACCCAGGACCATCACCTATTGCCATCTTGGCACGGTGACCTGACCAGACAGCGGTTGCAGGTACCGGGGCTAAGCAGAGATGCCTACCCCCTGCTCAACCCCGGTTGAAGCAGATGTCGTGCAAACCTGATTGCGCGGGGACTTCGGGAGCTAGGTTTCAACATGCTACTACATGTCTTCATGAGGGTGCACGGTGACTCCCATCTAGCTTAGTTGTGTGGTGATGATAGAGAGTTGGGTATCCTCCAATCCCTCGTATGTCCTTGGAGCCCGTTTCGGCCATGACACCCCCGACATCTCGCACTACGGAACTGCTATGCCAGCCTCAACCCAATGCTACATACTAGGAGGATAGCCAACCCTAGGTCATGAGTTATGGACCGAGTTTCTTTATCCTTATGTTGTCTTTTTACGACAGTGTACTCTGGTGTTGACCGTAGAGAGATGGGGATCCTCTGTTCCCTCGTATATCCCTGGAGCCCGTTCCGGCCCCGCAATAAGGTGCAGTATCTCCTGACACCCCCGACAGCCGTACGAAGGACTGCTATGCCAGCCTTAACTCTAAGGTACGTACTAGGAGGATAGCCCACCCTCAATCGTGAATCATGGACTGTATGTATTGACTCAAGATAATCTCTTAGCCCTGTATTGTATGGTAATATGAGAGCAGACAATCCTTTGTTCCCTCGTATGTCCTTAAAGCCCGTTCTGGCCCTGCGGTAAAGTGCGCTATCTCTTGACACTCCCGACATCCCGTACTAAGGAACTGCTATATCAGCCTCAATCCTTTGACCACGTACTAAGAGGATGACCAACCCTAAGTTAGAGTTTGGTATTGAACACAGGACCTTATGTGAATCGTGCAAGTGACCTAACCCATTGCCATACACTGTGAAATAGTATGTAGTTGTGCTCTGTTGGGCTCGAGTAAACCAGACTATGCGAGCCACCCAGAAGTCTCATAACAACCCCGTAGACTAAGAACATCAGGATACCCACCATCGCCCAATCCCCACATACAACAATCATGGACTACCCCTTGGGTGGTGCGCAGGCAGTGTCTGTAATAACTTACCTGCGTCATCCCAAGGGTGTGTGTGTCCAGCCGTACGTCATTCTAACACCCTTTCCGTGTCCATGCGCAAGGCTGCGGAGTTTTGAACCCGCAACCTCATACCACAATGCGCATTTCCAACCAGTGCTCTAACCACTGAGCTACATCAACTGTCTTCTTCACCATCTTTTACTTTCTTGTCTTCTTCTTCTTCCTACCATCACCCACTTCCATTTTTTTAATCATTTTTTCTATATTTGAAAAATCATCGGGCAGTGGCCACACACTTCTCTTTCTTCTTCTTTTTTTTTTTTTTTTTTTTTTTTTTTTTTTTTTTTTTTTTTCCTCTTTTTTTTTTTTTTTTTTTTTTTTTTTTTTTTTTTTTCCATCTCCTTTCCATCTTTTTTCAGTTCTTCTTCTTCTTC